ACGGCGTAGGCTGCAGCCCCTGCTGCAGTGGGTTGCCATGGGCTATCGTATGTGGCCAGCAGCCAGCGTGAGCGGCAATAGCCGCTCTGAGCGACCGTCCAGAAGCCGGCGACTGATGTGCCTTGCCCAGGAAGAGCGCAATGATGGTGCCAACTTGGGCCAGTGAAGCAACATCCTCCACAACTAGACTGAAGAGCAAAAGGACAGCAACTTATTTGTTCCCCTTCCCCCAATTCCCCAGCGCTGTTCCCATCCCCCAATTACCCAATAAAAATCTTTAAAAAAAATCCAAAAACTTATACTCTGGTTTTTAAAGGAATAATAAATGAAGTATAAAGCCACCTTCCTAATCCTCTCATTTTTGCTAACTATGAAAATAAAATGTACTAGAATTCATTAACATGTCTATAAAATTGGACCTACAGTATCCCGGGTCATCCTTTGATTTGTCATCCCTGATAAGCACTGTCCAAAATTAACAAAAAGCTTTCTAAAGCAAATCAGACTGAATTTTATAATTTCTTCCCTATTCATCTCAAAAGTAAATGAAAAATGGATCTCTTCAAATTTTAAACAACAGAATGTGAATGGCCTCCCATAACCAAATTCTGCAGTCAAAGCACTTAAATCTCCTGTTAAAATAGCCCATGGAAATTGATACCTGAGACTTGACACGTCTTGTTCTCTTCGGCAGAATGTTCATTCTTGTGCCGGGCTCTGGGGAAGTTTGCACATCAGTGCCAAGAACCTCAGGCTCCACTTTTTCCTTAAGATCTAAATTAGGCATTTGTACACCCTAAAGAATCAAAGCACAGAAAGAGAGCAGATTCACTGATAAGAGCTCAGATTTGAGACTCGGAGAAAAATAATAAATTTCCAATAAATCCCTAATACTGTTAAGAAACCAGATAATTCTCCCACCAAATTGATCTACAGATTCAAGACAATCCCTATCAAAATTCTAGTAGGCTTTTGTAGAAATTGAGATGCTGATCCTAAAACTTATATGGAAATGCAAATTGTTTAGAAATTATGAGAAAAGAACAACAAAGCTGGAGGATTTACACTACTGGACATCAAAACTTACTATAAAGCTATAGTTCTCAAGACAGCATAGTATTGGTGTTAGGGTAAATACATAGATCAGAGAGCAAAACAGAGACCCAAAATAAACCTACATATTTAAACTCAACTGATTTTCAACAAAGGTGCCAAAGTAAATCAATGGGAAAGGGGTAGTCTTTTAAACAAATGATGCTGGTACAACTGGATATTCATATACCCCTTCCCCCAAATAAAACTTCCATACCCTGACCTCGTACTATACAGGAAAAAGAAAAAAAAAACTCAAGAAAAAATACCTCAAAATAGATCAAAGACCTAAACATAAAAGCTAAAACTATACAACTTCTAAATGAAAACGAAGAAAATCTTTGTGGTCTTGGGTTAGGAAGATTTCTTAGCTATGACACCAAAAACGATCCATGGCGAGGAAAAAAAAAGTACCATTATAAAAATGAAAACATAAACCACAGACTAGGTATGAGAAAATATTTGTAAAATCATTTTCTGATAAAGAAGTTGTATCTAGAATATACAGTGAACTCTTAGAACAAGTATGAGAACAACCTATTTAAAAAAAAAAGATTTGAACAGACGCTTCATAAAGGAAAATATACGAATGGCTAATATGCACATGAAAAGATGCACAACACCATTAGTCATTAGGGAAATGAAAATTAAAACCACAATGAGATACCACTACACACCCACTAGAATGACTATAAGCAAAATAACTGACAATACCAAGTGCTGGCAAAGACGTGGAGAAACTGGAAGCCTCTACATTACTGGTGGGAATGTAAAATGGTTCAGCCACTTTGGAAAACAGTTTGGCGGTTTCTTAAAAAGTTAAACATAAACTTACCATATAACCCAGCAATTCCACTCCTAGGTATCTACCCAAGAGAAATGAAAACATATGTCCACACAAAGACTTGTACATGAATATTCACAGCATTATTCATAACAGCCATAAACTGGAAACAATCCAACTGTCCATCAACTACAAAACGGATAAACACATGTGGTCTATCCACACAATGGAATATATTCAGCCATTAAAAGGAACGAAGTACTAATACATGCTAAAACATGGATGAGCCTTAAAAACATAAGGCTAAATGAAAGAAGCCAGATACAAAATCACATTGTATGATTCCATCTATGTCAAATTTCCAGGAAAGGCAAAACTATAGAGCCAGAAAGTAGATCAAGAGTTGTCTAGGTCTGGGGGTAGGAGAAGGAACCAACTACAAAGGACCACAAAGAACTTTTGAGGGGCTGGCCGGGTGGCTCAGTTGGTTAAGACTTGGCTTAAGAGCGCAAACTCTGAGCAACAGGGCCGCCGGTTTGATTCCCACATGGGCCAGTGACACTGCGCTCAAGCTGAGCTGTTGCTGAGCTCCAACAGGTGGCAGCTGGTGTAAAAACAAGATTGCCTGTTCAATGGTGGGCTATGCCCACCCACAACTAAGACTGAACTCGGCACCTTAAGCTGAGCTGCCACCCAGATGGCTCAGTGGATAGAGCATGCGCTCTTAACAAGGCTGCTGGTTCGACTCTCACATGGGATGGTGGCTACGCCCACCCACAACTAAGATTGTAACACAGCACCTTGAGCTTAGAGGCCATGAGTTGCCAACAGGCAGCCAGATGGCAACTGGCGCCCTCCACAACGAAGACTGAAGAACTTGTCTGTTCCCCTTCCCCAATTCCCCAACACTGTTCCCCTCCCCCAATTCCCCAATAAAATCTTTAAAAAAAAGGACTTTTGGGGCTGATGGAAGTGTTCTAAAACTAAACTGCAGTGTATAATTTATTAAAGCTTATTGACTGTGTACCTACGAAGGGTGAATTATTCAGTAAATTATACCTCAATAAAGCTGTTAAATAAATGAAATCAAGAGGAGGAATTTTTCAAAACGCTTAAACAAAAGGATTTATTTTAAATAAATAAGAAAACAGCCCTATTAACCTTTATCTTGTAAACCACCAAAAATAGCTGATTTTAAACTACATCTTGCTCCCCCAAATTCTGGTACCTGGAAAAATCTTTTTCAACTTGCTATGCATAGCCAACTGCTAACTTATTATGGTGAACAGTCTAAAGTTTATACTTGGCAGACTGGAATTATCCATTCCTAAAAAAATGATGCATCTCACCATAAGGCTGACACCAGATTGGAAAAGCTCATATGGGTAGAGAATTCTTTCATAGTGTGACTTCAGAAGAGACCCAGTTCCTTTTCCTGGCAGATATCCCAAGCGGCTACCCACTTTAGACCACTTCTTCTCTTTGGTGACCATTTCAAAACCTCCTTTGCTGGCAACAATCTGAAAAGTAAGTAAAAATTATTTAGGGAAAGAAGATACATACATCTTATCTGTTGAATATGAAAATTATTCTAGGCCTAGATTTCCTATTTCCTTTCAACAAATATTTGACAAAACTGAAACCTGTCAGCATTTTAAAGTATAGAATAAGAGAACGATATTTGGAAGTTTTAAACTCTATTATTTAGTGTTATCGTGCCTACCTTAAATGAACCAGGCATTTAAAAACATTTCATTAAACATTTACACTTTGTACGTTATACACCTTGAGAAAACTAAACATATGTCTGTATTCCATATCCTCAAAGAACTCAAAATATAAAATAGGAATACAGACCAAAAATAGACATGAGAATATGTTATATAGTACAAAAGAAACATAATCCTAAAATTAGAAAATGTACCAAATAACTTATAAAATTTAACAAAAATATCAACCAAACAATGGATTCAGAGGATATTTTCAAAAAGAGGCTATAATTTTTCAAAAGGAGAAAAGTTTTACATGGAAGACTGTATTATATTATATGGAAGATTATTGCAGGAAGATCAGATTATAGCTTTACTGGAATGTAACAAAGAATATATTAAGGTAGTAAACGATGAGATAATTTGGCCAATTTGGCTGAATGCTCACATCAAACCTGGCACTGTATAGAATATATATGTATCAAGGCTCCCTTGTCTTCCAGAAGCTGATATTGACATCTCTCACACTCTAAAATATAGGCAGTTTTCAGTTTCACTAACAACAGAATAAAGAGGACTGTGACATAATTATTTGAACTCAAAATAATTATCCTCTTTGAATATACATTACTGTATTTTACTATACAAAAGCGGAGAAAAATTAAATACAGAATTACATGATCCAGCAATTCCACTTCTAGATATATACCCAAAAGAACTGAAAGCTGAGATTCAGACAGTTACTTGCATACCAATGTTCACAGCAGCATTATTCACAATAGCCAGAAGGTGGAAACAATCAAAATGTCCATCAAGAAATAATGGATAAACAAAATGTGGTCTACACACACAATGGAATATTATGCAGACCTAAAAAGTAATGAAATTATGATACATATGACAACATGGATTAATCCTGAAAACATTATGCTAAATGAAATAAATCAACCACAAAAGGATGAATATTGTATGATTCCACTTACATGACATACCTAGAGTAAGCAAATTCATAGAGAAAGTAGAATAGAGGTTTTACCAGGGGCTATAGAGAGGGGAAAGTTCTGGAAATGGATAGTAGTGATGGTTGTACAACATTTTGAATGTATTCAATGCCATGAAATTGGACACTTAAAATGGTGAATTTTTACGGGCCGGCTGAGTGGCTCGTTTGTTAGAGTTGTCTTGGAAGCGCGAGCTCTGAGCAGTAGGGCTGCTGGTTCGGATCCCATGTGGGCCAGTGACGCTGTGCCCTCTACAGCTAGGATGGTGAGCAACAGCTTGACCTGGAGCTGGGCTGCCGTGAATCGCCGGTGATGGCATAGGCTGCAGTGGGGCTGCCATAAACTACTGCTGAGTGGCCGGCAGCCGGCGTGAGCTGCCATGAGCAGCCGTCCAATGGCTGGCGACCGATCTGCCTCAGCCAGGAAGAGCACAATGATCACAATACCAACATGGGCCAGTGAAGCGATGTCCTCCACAACTAGACTGAAGAACAAAAGGACGGCGACTTGTCTGTCCCCCTTCCCCAATTCCCCAATGCTGTTCCCTCCCCTAATTCCCCAATAAAATATTTTCTAAAAAAAGGTGAATTTTATGTTATGTGTATTTTACCATAATATTTCTAAAAAGGCTAAGAGCATGTACTCTGGAGTCAGACTGCCAGGGTTCAAATCCCAGCTCTGCTAATTAATAGTTGTATGACCTTAAGTGAGTTATATAATTTACATCTCTGATTCCTAGCTATTATTTAAAAAGTAATAATAGCAGTACCTACACTTCATTATGAGGCTCTTGTAAAGACAAATGAAATAAACAAACATGAAAAGCACCAGGACACAGGAAGTGCTACATTAATGTTAGCTGTATTATAAATGTCTATGTGTATGGGCAAGTGTGTGTGTGTGTGGGGGGGGGTGCACATGCTATAAATAAGTGAAGGGAAATGTTTCCAACTCTTATGCTCTAGGATGCTATTATAGACAAAGATGAACCTACAGTCAAAGCAAAATTTTCTACTAGTGAAATATCTGAAAGCTTGATAAAAACACGTAAGTTCATATGCACAAGAGTTGAACACATCTCTAATTCTTCAGCTTCTCTATCATACCCTCAAAGAAGCTCCTCTGTTAAGAGCTAACCAGGAGAAAATTATAAAGAGAAAAACATTATTCAAACTTTGTAGTGCAGAAAAAGACAGAATGAGGGTGATTTAGATAAAAGGCTGTAAATGAACGCAAATAAATGAATTAGAACGCCTTTCTTTTATATCTTTCCAGTGCTTCTATACTGTCCACTACTGATCTAGGTGCTTGAGATTTATCTCAAAAACAAAGATATTTGCCCTCTTGGAGCTTAAATTCTAGTGGGAGAAGACAGGAAATTAAACATATATAAAATTTTGAAGTAATAAATCCTATGGAAGAAATTTTTAATAACAGTTAAAAAGAAGAGTAGCAGAATGAGGGTAAATTGGAGTTTTAAACAGTCACGAACAGCCTTGTTACAAAGGTGATATTTGAGCAAATACGTGAAGGAGGTAAAGCAGTACCCAAGCAGGGAATAGCCGGAGCAAGGGCCTAGTTAAGGAGCATGCCTAGGGCCGGCCGGGTGGCTTAGCTGGTTAGAGTGTGAGCTCTGAGCAACAGGGTCACGGGTTCAATTCCCACATGGGTAAATGAGCTGCACCCGAGCTGAGCTGTCAATGGGCGGCCGGATGGCTCAGCTGATGAGAACGTGTACTCTTAACAAGGTTGACTGTTTGACTCCCGCAAGGGATGGTGGGCTGCACCACCCACAACTAGATTGAAAGCGGCAACTGGACTTGGAGCTGAGCTTGTGCCCTCCACAACTAAGATTGAAGGACAACAACTTAACTTGGAGCTCATGGGTCCTGGAAAAAACACACTGTTCCCCAATAAAGTTAAAAAAAAAATCCTGCTTAAAAAAAATAAAAAAAGAAACATGCCTCATGTTTGAAAAACAATAAGGAAGCCAATGTAGCTGACAAGTGAGGAGGATTAGTAAAGGAAGTCAGGGAGGAAATAGAAGCCCTCACAGTAATCTTTATTATCCACTACAATTATCACCAATAATCTGCTTTGTATTCAAAGCACTTCAAGCTAAATTTCCATTAGTAATGATATGTCTCCATGGATCCAGTCATGCTTTCCTACCCACTTCTGATTACTGGCACACAGCTGTGAAAATGACAGCCAGCATAGCAAGGTATGGCCAAGGAGTAAGACAAAGCTATCTCACACACACACAAAAAAAATCAAAACCATGACTTCGGCTTCATTAGCACAATACTCTAACAATCTAACCAAGCCTAATACTATAAATATAAAACCTTACACTTGTTTTTCTCCAGCTGACAAATTCAAAGATTACCATGCATAATTTCAAAATATGAACCATTTATTCCAAACATTTGCCATAAAATATATCACTTAAGAACCATGCCCTACCTATAAAAAGATACACGGCATGCACTTGAATTGAACACAATGAAGAGAAGCCCCTAGTCAAAACTTGACCAAAGAGTAATGTCAATCAAGGCCAAAACATCAGTCCAATAACAAACTAAGTCTGGTTAATAAGGGATAATTTTAACAGACATAAAGTAGTAGCAGTATTATACTTAAAAGCTCCGTCTCACAACTCCACTAAAAAGACAGTAAAGGAACATAAAGGTATATTCTCAAGAGAAAAAACAGACCAAGAGAAAGCAGGTGTATGAGTGATAACCTAGCAGGCAAACAACAAACAAAAAACAAAAAACCAAGCACCTGCAATAGAAGAAAGCCAAGAAGCAGCTTTTGCAACATACTGTAGAACCTGAAAAGGCTTAAGAAATGGATGCAGTAGTACCTGTAAAATTAGGGGTGGCAATGAATAGAGAACAGGATTGGCTGAAAACCTGTACAAAAGCAATTAGACCACCACCAGTCAGCACAGCCAGGTCCTTCTCTAGCGCCAGCAAAAAACTGGAGATTTACTCTCAGGAGAGTTTGAAAAGAAGGCACTCTACCTTAAGAAAGAAATGTTAAGTAAACTATAGGATCAGTCTCATAGTCTAATCAGCCTAATATTCTATCAGGCTGTAGTCTAACATCCAAATAGTAAGAGTTCAAAAAGAGAAAAAAAATGGAAGAAACTGTCAAAGAACTAATACAAGAAAAGTTACAAGAACTCAGACATGCGTTCAGATTAGAGAGATTATCAGTATAATAAAAATATTAAATAAAAATAAACACATGCCAATGCATATTACTGTGAAATTTCAAACCACTGGTAATAAAGATTAGATCCTAATGTCTTCAAGAAAAAAAAAGTCACATACAAAGGAACAAGAATATAGCATCATTCTTTTCAACAGCAACACTGGAAGCTAGACGATTATGTAGTAAAGCTGTCAAAATACTGAAGTAAAATGATTTACAATTTAGTCTTCTAACCCCCACCAAACTACCAATCAAGTTTTAGAACATTTTTAGACAAGCAAAAAATTTACATCCAATTTACCTTCTTGCTCATGAAACTAGTAAAAGTAATGTTTCACCAAAATAGGAGTAAACAAAGTAATAGGAAGACTTGAAACAAGGAGAGGCAAAGGGAAATCCCAGAATGGTAATATTGAAAGGAGTTCCAGGCTGACAGCTGACCTCAAAAAACAACCAGTCTGGACTGGAATAGGAAAAAGAACTCCAGAGGAATGGCTCCAAGAAAATGAAACTGATACAGTTATCTGATGGGTAAAAGCATACTGAGAGATTTATACTTCTGCTGGAAAATCTGAAAATAAAGTTTTCAAAGTTACAAAGAAAACATACAAAATGAAAAAAGGGAGGGAGATTTATTATAAAAATTGGTATAAGGAAACAATCACAGCATACTACAAGGCTCAGGTACAAATTGTATTTTTATTTACAGTTGCAGTAACAATTTTTAATGAATAAAAATTGACTGAATTACTCTAGAAAAGAGTACGGGACCTGAAATATGTAAGGATTTAGATTTCTTACACCCATCCCCATTTCTTATTTTTTAAGATTTTATTGGGAAATTGGGGAAGGGAAAAGTGTTGGGGAATTGGGGAAGGGAAACATTGTGTTTTTCCAGGACCCATCAGCTCCAAGTCCAACTGCAGCTTTCAATATACCTGGGGGGGGGGGCAGCCCACCATCCCATGTGGGAGGCAAACCAGAAACCTTGTTGTTAAGAGCATGTGCTCTCACCAGCTGAGCAATCTGGCCGCCTGTTGGCAGCTCAGCTCGGGCGCAGCTCACTGGCCCATTGGGGACTCAAACCAGCAACACTGTTGCTCAGAGCTCCCGCTCTTAACCAACTGCGCCTCCCGGCCGGGCCCCCCCCATTTCTAATAATACAAAATCAGTATATAATATTTAAAACTGAAAAGTGAATAGCATAATGAATCTATTATTTGGAAATAAAAAGATCAAAATCAGAAACAGCTAAAAGAAGTGAAACTGGTTAGCTCTGCGGGTGGGAATGGGAATGGAGAGGTAGAGAAGGGAGAATGCAGGTTTTTAAAAAATATATTACTTTGACAAAAAAAATAATAATTTTAAAGGGCTATAATGAATGTTCTTTGCCATACTGATTATAAACAGTAATTGTTAGGGCCGGCCTAGTGGGATGGTGGGCTATGCCCACCCGCAACTAAGATTGAACAGGCACCTTGAGCTGAGCTGCCCTGAGCTGCTGATGGGCGGCCCATGGCTCAGTGATTAGAGCAAGGGCTCAGTGATTACAGTGTGTACTCTTAGCAACAAGGTTTTCCCGCACAGGAATGTGGGCTACGCCCACCTGCAACTAAGATTAAACACAGTACCTTGAGATAAATGGCCAGGAGCCACTACCAGGGAGCTGGATGGCAACTAGACTTGGGAACTGAGCTAGCTGCACCCTCCACAACTAAGATTGAACAGCAACAACTTGGCTGTTCCTTCCCCAATTCCCCAATAAAATCTTTAAAAAGTAAAAATAAAAAATAAGGGAAAAAGACAAAGTGATTTAATCAAAATAGTGCCAATTTAATGACTCAGAAGACTGAAAATTTGTTTCCCATTAAAAAGCAGTCAGAATTCAAAATCATGTCTATCATAACACAAACTCAGAAGATGCTCATCAGCTGTCAGCCAAAAAAAAATTTTATAGGCATACCTAACAACCTAAAAATATCAGAACTTTGAAAATTTTCTGCAGTTTTCATCCTGAGCCTCTTGCTAAAAAGTAAAATGGCATGCTAATGAAATATTTACCCAGTGATAAGAGGTTAGAACAGTGTTACTTCTGGGGAGAAGTACTGACTGGGAGTGAGATGAAGGAGCCTGCTAGGGTGCTGTAAATGTTTTATATCTCGATCTGGGGGTGGTGGCTCCACGAGTGTATACATATATAAAGATTTATCAACTGCATTGAGAGGCAGCAATCTCACTGTGACATTTAGGGAACAAAAGTATTATGAAGGGGCCAGCCGAGTGGCTCAGTTGGTTAAGAGCTCGCTCAAGAGTTTGAGTTCTGAGCAACAGCAGTTCGATGCCCGGCCCAAGCCGAGCTGCCGCTGAGCTGCCAAAAGGTGGCAGGATGGCTCAGCTAAAAACAAACAAACAAACAAAAAAAAAAGTATTATGAAGTATTAAAAAAATAACTACACGTCAAAATTTGCCTGCCTTTTATCTTTAAATCTCAGTTTTATAAGCATTCTCAAGGGATAGGGGGAAAAAATGTTCATAGGGACTTGAAAGATAAGACTGCAATAAGCCTCAGGACAATCAAGCTTAACCTTTAATTAACATACTTGCAATATGTTCTCTAAGTACTTCAACAAGATTATTAGTAGTATTTTCCCTTTGCACAAAAAGGAATTGGATTTTTCAAGACAGAGTTAAACAGTCCAGATGACAAATGTTACATAAAATTGTGAACTAGGCATTCAAATTAGGTTACTTCTAAAGACCCTTTCTAATTTTGAAATCCTACAACTCTGTATAACCAACAATGCAACCTAATTTACCATCAGATTAAACCTAATGTTTTATCTTTTAATTGTCAAAAAAGAGAATTCTTAAAACAAATTTTTTATCCTAATAGTTCGCTACAAGATACAAGCCCACCCCTCATATCCACTGTAATTTGCCCTTTGGTATCATAGGTTTTCATACAATTGAAGTAGAAAATTCTCAGCACAGTGCTTAATTACTGACATCATTACCTGATTGATAAAAGAAACCTAGAGCTATATTTTAGTATAAGATTACATTTCCCAGAATTTTTAGTATAAAACAAAACTTTTAAGAGAATTCTGACCTGACATTAATTTTAAAATGTATTATAAAAAATAATTTAAATTATCATCACTTTTTTCCATAAAAGTAAAGTCTTCCAAAATTAACCTTGCAATTTAAATGAGAATAAAAGTTTATTTCAAAATAGTATATCAATCATAGGATATGAAAGGCCACAGAAATAAGTGGTTTTGCAGAATTCCTCAGATAATGAAGCTGTCTTCATTCACAAGTTAGAACAATCATAGATTTTTACTATTGTATAACAAAACAGGTCTTCAAGGTATTAAATAAACCCTGGTGCAAGTCATTTTGTTTTTCATATTAGGGAACGTAATGTTACAAAGTTTACCTAAATTTAGACAAAAATTAGTCTAAACACTTCCTTAATTTTTCGAGCTACTGTTCATTCTACTGGATACTGCTGGCCTCCATTAACCATTAACACTATTTACAGGTATTAATGCAACTGATATGAACCACATGTAAGAATGCTGAGTAACATGAATCTGTTTAATATACCAAATTTACAATTAAGAAATAGGAAAAAAGATAACAAGCTCATCATAAGACATTATACACTCAACACAAAGATATTGGTAGGCTGGTGTCATTTCTTTTGCATTATCGTGTATCACAAAGCCTACTAATCTGAGTCCTTAAATATTAATATCATAAATTATAAAATAGCTTGACAAATAACTTTAAGATCTCTCATTTCCATTTAGTCATGCTTGCATTTCATTATCAAACAAATCCTACATAGGAAGTAATGTTTCCCATCTAATTTATTTGAAACTCCTAATGTTATAAATTCACTAGCCTCTGCTCCAATTTCTAAACCAAGTAAAAGCCTCACCTTGCTCAAAGCATACAGATCCAGGATTTTTCTCTCCACCACAGGGATCTTCAAAGTAGATCCTTGAAGCTCCCAAAATTTTGCTAGTTGATCTAAGAAGTCCAGTCTCACTCTGGTCATTGCCTAAGATTAAAATACAGAAATTGCCAATATATGGTGATGGAAATAGAGCTGACTCTGGGTGGTGAACACACAATGTGATATATATTGGGTTGCTGGAAAAGTCATGATGTATTTTTTCTACATTTCTCATTGCAAAAATGCGTCCTGACTTTTCCAACAACCCAATAGATGATGTATTACAGAACTGTACACCTGAAATCTACGTAACTTTACTAACAATTGTAACCCCAATAAACTTTTAAAAAATTTAAGGACACACACACAAAAAACAAACAAACAAACAAAAAGCCCAGGAATTAGAAACATGTTACGGTTGAAAATAAATGAGTTTTACTTAATAATAAAGTTTTACTTAATAAATTTCTGTAAAGAAATTCAGACTTTTCATTATTACTTAGTCCAACCCTGTAAAGTAAGCTAATAATAAAGCAGCAAAATATTTCTAATAAACTTTATTCATTAAGGTAAAAAAAGTTACTATAATATATGTGAACAGTTCTCATATTATCAATCAAAGTAATTTTTTGGAAGAAGTTTGCTTAACTTTAAGCTAATTAGAAAATTTAGTAAATCGGATTATTTTGTTTCTAAGCATTGCGTCTGCCATCTCATCTGTAGATAATATATGTACTTAAGGTACAACAACTCTCTACCTCACTGATATTAAGATCCTTCATGAAGTATCTAATTACAAGACTAAAGAAAAAAGAAATGTATTAAAATCTCAGAAAATGTTTTAGGAGCATCAAGAAAGAAAAAAAGAACCCTCAGCATGACATATGAGCCTTAGCTTAGATTTCTCTTTTGTACTCTGAAAACAGTTTTTTACCACACAGGCATGTTCCGAAAATCCGGCATGGGGGGCTGGGTGTAAAAGGTGAAGGGATTAAGGAAGTACAAATTGGTAGTTACAAAATAGTCACAGGGATGTAAAGTGCAGCATAGGGAATATAGTCAACAATATGGTAATAGCTATACATAGTGCCAGGTGGGTTTCAGACTTATTGGGGGGATCACTTCATCAATTATATAAATGTCTGACCACTATGCTGTACATCTGAAACTAATATAAAATAATATTGAATATCAATTGTAATTAACAAATAAAAAAAGACATTTTATAAGTGGAATCACTGAAAAATAAAGACAATCTAGCAGACAAGAAAAATAATACGTTAAGTAGATTAGTAATAGTTAAAGTGAGATCTTAATAAATCAGATTAACAGTCCTGGAAAAGTTCTGCTAAAGCCAAAAAAACAGACTCTGAAAACTAGGTTTTTTTGGATAGAATTTTTAAAACTACTTTCCAAAGACCACAGGAGACAGGATCTTCCAACATTAACAAAAATTTTAGAATAAAAAGCACTGAAGAAAGTACAACTTAAGAATTCCAAATCTCTGAAGCTAACTAAGCTGTATATTTCCACTATGAAAAAATAAGGCTTGAGACAGTCTCCCATAATCCCAGTTAAGTGAAAAACTAACAACGGCTTGAAACAATTTTTTTAAACCAGAAATTTCCTTCCACTCAATCCCAATGAACTAACATGAACTCTGAGCCCGGGTACATGAGCTTCTCAAAGTTCTCTACCTGGAGCCCTGACATAAAGATTGAATCAGGAGGCTGAAGTGGCTATATAACACTCACCTCAAGTTCATTCAGGCGCTGGACTCTTGGAGTAAAACGAAAGCTTTTTACTTCACATGCAAATGGAGGTTGCCAATCCTAAATAGGAAGATTTTTAAGCATGTTGGTATATAAGCAAGGAATGCATTATTCCCTTAATTTAAGGGGTGAGTTGTCAGAAATCATGATGATAACAAAACAATTTATAAGTCTTTTTTATTGTAGAGACAGAAAGAGTAATATTTTTAGATAAAATACTACTTATCTCCAATCACTTATCTCTAATAGTCTTCATATTAAAATTATTTTATCTATAAATCCTCAAATCTCACCAGTCCCATTATTTACATCCCACAATTATGCTTTCCCCAATTGCTCAGTATGCAGTGAGCTCATCATGCATCTCAACCCAGTGTCTAGTAAACATCATAGTTTACAAATTAAAAAGAAAACAGAATTTGAAAGAAACAAAAAAGGGTACAACTGAAGATTAAAAAGTAGTATTTTAAAGTGCTTATATAATGGGTAATGTTTCTTTCATTTATGTGTAATGTGACACAGCACTTTACAGTTTGTTATATAAATGTTTTGTTCAAAGCCCAGCTTCTGGGCACCCAAATATTAAATACATAAATAAAAATAAGCAAACCCACTAGAACAAGAACAATTTCCAGACTGGAGATGTGGTGTAACTGAAATGAGATAGCCCATTTCAAGTAGGGTCCTAGAGAACATAGTTTGATTTGGCCTAAATAATAAATCTGTTTAAAAATCTAGTAGTCAAAAAAATTTACCTTACCTTGGAAACTAAAGAAATTCACAAATATTGAAATTTTCAATAATATGACACATAAAGAGAAAGGATGTCAATTTTAATAAAAAAATCTTATGTATTTTTGTGGGGGGGTTTTTTGGGGTTTTTTTTTTTTTTTTACCAAAAGGAACCTTGAACAGAGTTTCTAATTCATGAAGGCAACAGAGTAGATGAAAATATGATTTAGGAAACACTGCTGTGCTTAGTGTTTTGATAGAAAAAGAGTTAGGTGAAGCTTCTGGAGGATGGCAATGCAAATATCATCATCACTCACCATAGCAATTATCGGTTAATGCTTTGCTTCTAAATGACAGTCTGTAATCTTAATCAAATTCATTTAGCCTAACGGGAGTGGCATGTCTAGGTTTTAGAAGCAAACAGACTGATCTAGGTACAAAATCTACTTTGCCACGTACCCAAAATCAAACATTTCATAAGTTATTTAGCTTATCCAGACTTGCCTCATCTATAAATTGAATTTATTTACCTATTAGGGCTTCAAAGAATATTAAATGAAATAAGTTGGTGCTAAATTAGCTTCTCCCTCCTCCCACCCATCTAAACATTTTATTTATTGTGGTGCACACCACTCTAGTAGTCTGGTGAGAGCAGCTGTTTTTTAAAATGCAACACGGGTAACAGTACTTAATATTTTAGTTTTATTACTAGTAGACAAAACATAAAGCAAGTCATCCCTTTAAGAAGCAATAAGGCAACAGTTCACAAACTTTAATGTGCTTTAAGAATCATCTGCAAGTTTCCCAGCTCCTGAGTGGATGGATTAATAACTTCTGGTCAACCTCTTCTCTCTGCTTTGGTTTGTTTGGAATCTAAATAAAACGACTTTTCTAAGGGGGAAAAAAATCACCTGCAAATACTTGCTAGCAAAGCAGATGCTAGACTTTCCGCATTCAGAAACTGATTCCAGTCTGGGAACTGGGCTTAGCGATTTGCATTTTAACAAGCAGCCGGTTGACCCTGGTGCAGGTGCACCAGGAACATCATTTGGAAAGTACTGGTCTAATGGGTAAAAAAATCTTTTGACCTTGAGCAAATCACTCGACCTCTTGGGGAACTACTTCCCCCCAAACAAGGAGTAGTATCTGCTTTCCTCACCTTAAAGACTGAAGGTAATTAACCTATAGGCAAACCCGGTTATTTGCAATAATTGCGATTCGTAAATCTTTGACCCATGGTTCCTTATATCAAAAGATTTCAACGTTTTCTTCCACATCCATCAGTGATACAACCTCTACACTTTCAAAATAAATGCTGCTCCTCTTTCCCTGGGGAAGGCTTTTTCCTTGCAGTAGTAATCAGCACAGGGTTCTTGTTTGGTGATACCATCCTAGGGGACAACTAGAGCTCAAATTACCGTTTAAGAAACCTTAGCCCTGCGATGAGGCCTGCAAATATTTAATAAATTAAGCGTTAATAGGGCTGGAATCAACAGCCGACGGAGGGCATTTTTTAATATCGTACCGTAATGAGGATTGAACAGGAGTGTAGGACGTGTCATGCCATAATACTTCTAACACCTTATCCGCCAACGAAAGGCCTAAAGCCTTTTGTCATCCTTGCCCACAATCCAAAGAAGTATCAATTCCCAAGTTCTAGGCGGAAAGGCCCCAGGGACACCACTCTGTCGCGTTCAGACAAGCCTACATCAAAAGAAACCAAGGCAAAAAAACCAAGGCAGAAACCTGGCTTCTAGTTGTTGAGAAATGAAGGACAGTGAATATGAAAGGGCAGACAGACCGGAAGAGTAAAGCTAAACCAAGCGTATCTACTCCCCCACTCTTTCTTCTCCCTTCTCCTCAGAGGCCGGTACCTTGGGCGGTCGGATTTTGCAGATGCCGGTTTTCTCCGCCAAAGGCCGGATGCGGCCGATAAAGCTGAGCGGGTCGGTGAACTCTTCCCAGCTAGGCTCAAAGACTGGGCACTCCGGTGGTGGCACGAACTCCGCCGCGTAGCCCCCAGTCCCCACGCCCGCCATGGCAATACCCAGGGGGCCCCCGTGAGGGAAACAAGCGGAGAAAGGGTGGCTGAAGCCCACCAAACCCTTTCACGTCCCCTGACAGGGACCGAAGCTCATCTTCTCGGACAAGAACTGCTCAACACAGGAATACCAGAAACGCTTCCTCCCCTCGTTTGTTATTGTTTCCTTCGGGGCTTTTCCTCACGGGGCCAGGACTTTCCGGAAGTTAACGTACTGTAAAATCCCTCCGCCACCCCAAGAAACAGAATCCCTCCGCAACAACGCGACGCCTCGTCGAACCACCTTTCTTCTTTCTCCCTTTCCCGGCAACCCAGCCGGGTTCCTTGTTCCCTGTCTCCTTGTCCGTGAAAGTTCCGCGCTCCCGACGACTTCTAGAGGCACACCTTGAAGGTCCCGCGATCTCGCCTATGAGAAGAAGCCCTCGGAAGGAGACAGACCGTGCTCTTCCGGCGCGGAGGAATGTGTAAAGCCCCGGAGGGCAGAGGTTCTGCTTCCGGCGAGGTGGGTCCGGTTCCCCCTTTGTGTATAAATGACCGGAAAAATAAACCCAGCTTAACATTAGCTACCGTACTTCACTGCTAATGCGTCGCGGCTTGTTTTAAGCTGCTTGTCTGTCGTTTTCCAAGTAACTAACTTTTCCAGGTTCTCTCTTTTTTGTTTTTTTAGTCTTTTGACTATTAGTGTCTCTCTCTTTCGAGTAATCTCACTAGACCACTTTATATCCGCCTATCTCCATGACAACAAGTTCGGGTGGAACCCATGCCCCAAATGCTACGGGCCGGCAGAATTACTTTTTGCCCGCATAGAAGCAACGGCTCTTGACCTGGCGTTTCCAACAGTTGCCAACTCCCAAGTCATCTCAACATCGTTTCCTCTGACACCACATACTCAGTAATCCTTTCTCAATTTGCTGCAAAAGTTATCGCAACTGCTCTGACCCTGCTTGTCAAAAATCTCTGTGCCTGCGTCTATCTTCGCTTCCCCCAAATTGTGGAAAATAACGTAGAAAGGACTAAAGACACCGTGAGAGTGTAGTTCTTACTATTTGTTGAAAGGAAGACTTACTTCCCTGGGCTTGTTCTCATACTCCCCGTACACTCTCAGCTACCCCCAGGACCTAAATTGCGAATTATGGCTGATGACTCGCAAATCTACTTCCAGCCTAGGCTTCTCTCCAAAGTTACAAGCCAGTAAGTACATCTAGCTACTTACTAGACAACTCCAGTTGGTAAGCTTAAAGTACCTTGAACTCATAGTTAGTTCCCCCGTGTTTTTTCAATATTTCCAGTTTCCTTGACTTGAACCATCTACTCAGTGCCAGAGCCAAACATCTAAATATAATCCTTAACTCCTGCCTCCTTAATACCCCTGTACAATGTGTTTCAAGTCAGGAGAGTCTAAAAATCTTAAATCCACCCATGTCTCTCCATACTTATTATCATTGTCCTAATTTAAATTCTTTCTCATCTGAACTATGTTAACAGCTCAGGTCTCGCCCCTGTCAAATCCCCCTCCATTCAGTTGTCAGATTGCTTTGTCTAAAAATCTATAATTCATCTTGTCATTTTTCATTGCTAAACTCAACAACTACAAACTCCTTTATTATTTGCTGTCCTACTCCCAATCTTCATCTCTTATGCTTCTCCATATACTACACAGAAATTTTTATAATGGTTTTAATGCACCATGCTTTCACCTCTGAGACTTCATAAATAATATTTTCTCTGTTGTAATATATTTGTACTCCTGACACCACCCCACAGTTTCCTATATCCCCTTTCTGACTAAATTTCTATTCCTCCTTCATCTATCAACTTAAAGACTACTTCCTCTGGAAAACCTTCCCTAATGCTCTAAATTTGTTTAGTCAGCAGTAGCCTGTACTTTATCAAGCAGTTTGAAATTGCTTGTTTAATTGCCTTTCTTCTTCAGACTGTAAGCTATACGAAGGCAGGGGAAGTGTCTGTCTTATTGACATTTTAACCCAGCTCCTAGAATAGTGTTTGGTGTTTAGAATGTGTGCAATAAATATCTGTTGAATGAATGAATAGATTCACCCTATAAATTTGCCTTATGTTTCATTGTCTCATCCTACATTTACATACTATAAATTATATTTGAGACTGTACTAGGATGTGATATACATAATATCCCTCCATTTGATTATAGCATCCACAAAAGTTAATGCCCAGTTACATCCACCAGTCTAAACCCCATACACAAACACTTAGAGGGAATAGTTCTATTTGTTAGTCGTTGTGTAAAAAACTACCTTAAAATTTGGTGGATGAAAATGAAAACTTTATTATTACAATTTTGTGGCTTGGCAGTCTGGTGTTCTCATGGCTTCACCTGGGATCACTCATGCAGCTATAGTCATCTGACAGCTTGACTGGAATTGGGGGATCCAAGATGACCTCACTCACATGTCTGGCATGTTGGCTGGGAAGTCTCAGTTCACATGACTTCTAATCCTTGGTAAAGTAGACAGGGCTTTTTCCGTATGTCAGTCTTAGCATTCCAAGAGTATGACAGTGGATGCCTAGGCCTAAAGTCTAGACTCCAAAATATATAAGATTACTTCTATCACGTTCTGTTGGTCAAAGCAAGTCATAAGGCGAGCCCTGATTCAAGAGGGTGATAAAAAAAACTCCATTTCTTGACAGGAAGAACAACAATATAACATTGAAAAGAGGTGTAGAGAAAGAAAGATGTGATTCATTGCATACAATTATAATGATTCACATTAAAATCAGATTTTTTTCTACCTAAATCAGGACAACCATATTATTCACAAAAAA